CCCGGGGCCCAGCCTGCTGCGGAGCTCGGCCCCACCGGCCACCGCCGGCCACGGACCGTCGCCGCGTTGCCAGAGCCCTCGCCCCTGCGCTGGCTGGGCCGGCACCCCGTGCCCTGGGCTGCATCCTGCCCGTGAGCACCCCACGGCCTGGGTCTGAGCCGAGGCCCCGGGTGAGGGCGACACCCTCGGTTGGGAGACGCCCGCAGGGACGCCCCGGCCGTTCTGTCTCGGAGCTCCTTGCGCAGCCATCGGTCACCACTTGTCTGGTCCCTCGTTGACCCTGCCCGTGCTGCCTGCCTTCGCCTCCCACGGGCTGGGCTTCATAGGATCCGAGACAGCCGGGGTGGAAGGGACCTTGGGATCACGTCTAGTCCAGCCCCTGCTCCAAGCAGGACCAGCCCCAACTACATCATCCCAGCCGAGGCTTTGTCTGCCTGTGTCTTAAAGACCTCCGAGGATGGAGACTTCACCACCGCTCTGGGGAGCCTGGTCCAGTGCCATACTACGCTCCTCATGAGAGTTTTTCCTCATATCCAACCTCAACCTCCCTTGCTGCAGCTGGAGTCCATTGCTCCTTGTCCTGTCATCTGCTCCCACTGAGACCAGCCCAGCTCCATCCTCTTTGCAGCCCCCCTGCAGGGAGGTGACGGCTGCTATTCAATCCCTCTCAGGCTCCTCTTGTGCAGACCAAATCAGCCGAGTTCCCTCGGCCTCGCCTCGCCAGTCCTGTCCCCAAGCTCCCTAACCATCTTCACTGCCCTCCACTGGACTCTCCAATGTGTCCACGTCCGTTCTGCGGTGAGGGGCCCACAGCTGGACACAGGGCTCCAGACGTGGCCTCGCCAGTGCCAAACAGAGGGGAAGAATCACTTCTCTCGATGTGTTAGCAGCACTCCTCCCAGTGCAGCCCAGGGTGTCGCTAACCATCTTGCCCCGGGGGCGCGGGGCTGGACTCGGTGATCTTCCAAGGTCCCTTCCAGCCCTAATGTCTATGAAGCTTTCTTGGCTTTTCTGCAGAGCTGCTGCCTCGCCTGTCAGCCCCCAGCCTGCACGGGTGCATGGCATTGTTCTGTCCGGAGTGCAGGACTTTACACTTGTCCTTGCTGAATGCCAGGAGATCTCTTTTGGCCCGCTCCGCCCAATTTGTCCAGCTCTGAATCCTAGCCCTGCCTTCCAGCATATCTACTGCACCCCCCGCTTAGTGTCATCTGCAAACTTGCTGAGGGTTCACTCTGTTATCTTCTAGGTCATTAACGAGGATATTAAGTAAAACCAGCCCCAGGACCAACCCCTGCGGCACTCCACTTGATACTGGCTGCCAACTAGACATTAGACGATTGATTACTCCCCATTGAGCTCAACGCTGCGGTCAGCTTCCTGTCCGCCATAGTCCATTCATCCAGCTTGTACTTCCTCAGCTTGCTTGTGAAAATGCTGTGGGAGACCATATCAAGAGCCTTGCTAAAATCAAGGTACCCCCCATTCACTAGTCTCCCCGCATACACAGAGCCAGTCACCTCATCATAGAAGGCAATCAGGTGGGTCAGGCATGACTTGCTCTTGGTGTAATTCCCTGGATCCTCTTTCTTTCCTTTCATAAAAATGGGCACTATGTCCTCTTCCTTTCAACTGGGACCTCCCCCAATTGCCAGGAGTCTTCAAAGTTGATGGCCAGTGGCTGTGCAAGTACATCAGCCAGCTCTCTCAGCACTCGGGTGCATCCCATCCAGCCCCATGGACACGTCCAGCTTTTCTAGGTCGTCCCTAACCTGATCTTTCAGCACTGAGGGCTGCTCACCTCCTCCCTGGACTGTGCTGCCCAGTGCAGTATAGGGCCTGACCTTCCCAGTGAAGACTGGCAAAAAGGCATTGAGCACGTCAGCCTTTTCTGCATCCCATCGCCAGTCTGCCTCCCCCATTCAGGAAGGGACCCGCACTTTTTCTGATCCTCCTCTTGCTACCGACATACTTGTAGAAACCCTTCTTTTACCCTTCACGTCCCTTGCTAGCTGCAGCTCCAGTTGCACCTTGGCCTTCCTGGCTTCATCTCTGCATGCCCGAGCAACGCTCTGATCCTCCTCCCTAGTTGTTTGTCCAAGTTTCCACTTCTTATAAGCTTCCTTTTTGAGATTTAGTTTACTGAAGAGTTCCCTGCTAAGCTGAGCTGAATTCTGCTTTTCTGCAGTCCAGGGACCTTACTCTGCTGCTCTCCATCCTTCCTTTCCTCAGGATCCTGAACTCAGTCATCTGGGGGTTGCTGCTGCCCAAGTTCCTATCCACTACTACATCCCCCACCACGTCGTCTCTGTTTGTGAGCAGCAGGTCAAGGAGAGCAGGGCCCCTACTTAACTTCCTGGTGCAAGTGTTGAAGAAGCTTTCTCCGGCACCCCAGGCAGTTTGTGGATTGCCTGCGCAGTGCCATGTTGCCCTCCCACAAGTCCTTCCCCTCATTAAGGCTAAAGCTGTCCCCTGCCCGTGGCAGCAGGTGCCCCTAGTTCCAGTCTTCTGGGATGTGGTGAACAGCAGCTCCCTGTTCACTTGGTCCACACCCTGCATGGTTTATAGGCCTCCATCATATCCCTGCCATCTCCTTTCCAAACTAGAGTCCAAGACTCTACCACCTTTCCTGGAGAGGCAGAGACCAGATGTGCGCACAGGTGTCGAGACACGGGCGCCCCAGGCTCTGCACAGCAGCGCAATTTGGCCTCCCTTTTGTTTTCAGTTCCCTTCCCAACGGCGCAGGACGCATTAGTGGCTTTTTTGGCAGCTGCTGCACGTGGAGCCGCCGTTCTCAGAGCTCTGCACTGAGGTTGGTGACCAAGTCATAAAGAGTGGGTTCGGCGCTTGGCGCTGCCTCTGTGCCCGAGTTGTTTCCCCTGCGCAGCACCTTGAGCTGGCCGGCACTGAGGTTCCTCTGCTGTTTTGTTTTGCCCAGTTGCTGGCCTTGGTGCTTTCTGCAGCTCCTCTCCCTTGGCCTCAGCCTCAGCCCTTGGTACTGCGGGCGGGCCCAGCACAGAGCCCTGCAGGACCCCACTGCTGACCTCTCTCCCCTGAGAGGAGCCGTGTTAACCCAACCCCACCCCACCCTGCCTCCCGGCCTGTCGCCGGCGCTAACTGGCTTCTTTCATGCAGAAATCCTGGTGTTGGGCACAGGTGACCGGATGGAGCAGGTGGACCCTGCCGTCCTGAGGGAGATGCGGCAGCAGGGCATTGCGGTGGAGGTGCAGGACACGGTACGGGGGTACGGGCGCGCACCCACCCCTCAGGGCTGAGGTGGCCACTGCACTGCGGCAGCGGGAAGGCCTGATGCTCCCTGCCGGGGGAGGCCTCGCAAGCCAGGGAGCTGCAAGCTGGGAGCAGGGCACCCCCATGACCCCTCTCTCCCCTCTCATAGCCCAACGCCTGCGCCACCTTCAACTTCCTGGTGAGTGAGAATCGACTTGTGGCCGCTGGCCTCATCCCTCCGCCCTCGGTCGGCAGGACCCTCCCCTTCACCCTGCCCAGCACTGCCAGCCTGCCAGACAGAGCTGCTGCTGGAGCAGGGGAGGGCGCCCCACAATAAAGCACGTGCCGCAGACAGCTGGGTGCGGCCTCTTTTGGGCAGGGAGCGGGGCCCGGGCAGGGCTGCTGGGGCTCGGCTGCCTGGTGGGAGCCCCCCCGTGCTGTCGGCAGCCCAGAGGAAGCAGGGGCTGGAGCAGGAGCCCGGGACGGAGGCTGCAGCCTCGCACAGCCCCTGCCTGCTCCCACTGGGCTCCCCTCCCTGCACTTCTGCTTTGCCCTGCCCTGCCCTGGGCACTCAGGGTGTGGAGCCCCACTCCAGACCGCATGGAGAGCCCTGCCAGGGCTGGGGGCTAGCTCACCCGTGTCCCTCCTTCCCCCGCAACGGGCAGCAAGGGCTGTGTGGTGCCGGCCCCGGCTCAGGCCTAAGCTCCCGAGTGCGTGTTGGGGGCAGGAAGAGGGGCCTGGGCGCAGCGGTGCCAAGGGGATAGAGCCGTAGCAGCCCCTGTGGGGCGTGACTGCCCCAGATGCGATGCTTGCGTGCACGCACAGGGGTTCTCATGCACAAGCAGAAGATGTAGCAGTGCACACTTGATGCCAGTGGTGGGAGCAGGGCCATGGGCGAGGCAGGAACAGCCATGCCAGGCTGGGGCTTGGAGCAGAGGGTGTGAGCCAGGCCCCTGTGTGGAAGTGGCAGGGGCATGTGTACAGGTGTGGGTGCGCACACATGCACGCAGCCTTTTGGTGGGAGCCACGGCGGGGAGAGGGGAAGAGAGCCTTGCTCAAGCTGCCTCAGCCGTGGCTGCGCGCGCACGTGCAAGGCTCCTGTGACCCGCTCCAGCGCAGGGG